ATCGTATACGTGCAATGCAAATATATGAAAATGAAGTACTATAGCAACCAAGGCAATCAAACTCATGAGCACACAACAGTAGCATGGGACTCACAAAGGCAAGATGGTTCAGATGCAGACCTAAAAGTGTGGGCTGACACAGTCACTCTGATTCGTGTCGTTGTGTAGTTTATTAAAAAAATTACCCAGCCTAAGTAAAGGACATCGTGTCTTAGCCTCAGCTTTGATTTCATGCGCTTCCAGTGGGAAAATCTTATTAGTCGTTACCAGTCGTTTTCGACCGTGCCAGCAGTTTTCTGCAGAAAGCCTTAACTGCTCTGATTTCTACCTCGGAATAAAACAAGAGCTGCTTCCAGGATAGAGAGCCCGACCTGAGTTTGGAAAAGTTTGTGCCTTATGATCAGGATGGAAGACATTCCTCCTTTCCTAAAAGTTAATGTATTTGCTGCAGCTGTCCCCAAGGATAAGAGACTGCACAAATCCCCTTGCCTTTCTCCCCAAAAAGCAGTCCGGGCTCTGAAGCTCTTGCCTTTCCTGTTGTTTTCATTTTCCTCTCCTGAACCTTGCCACCCTGGCTTCAGCACTAAGGCTGTAAAGGAAGATGGAAAGCCAAGTTACCTCAGAATGATCACTATCATTAACATTCACGGGTGGTTCACTTATCATTCCTGACTGCACAGACATGGCAGCCGTTATGAAACGTCCACAGGTGTAGCACGATGATACATATTACATTGTGCCACAATGGATTTATGTATTCTGTAACAAAAGAAAAGTGTAATGAAAAAATACAGAAGGTAATCCTTTATTCCTCCACTGCACAATTTATCAGTAATGCCTGTGGGTGATAAGTGCCAGGGATTTCCTTTGCTTGATTTAACCTTGTCACCCAGGTATGTTTTCGTAAAGTGACAGAAAAATGCAGGCTCAGAATGTCTTTTGGCTCCAAATTTTAAGAAATGCGTTTAATTGATAGAATAGTATCTTTTCTCTTTCCGTTGTTTTCCAGCAGCTAGTGATAGATGCATTGGTTTAAAATGATGGTGTGACACAACAGTGGGTTAGGGGAAAATGTAAGTAGTTTATAATCTTAGTTAAACGTATGCTAGGTAAGGTACAGCTTGACGTGAGGATGGTGGGTCTCGAGTGCCGGTGCAGGGAATGACCGAGAGCCTGGCAAGTAACCCTTGAAACGCATTTCCTACCTACCTGCACTGCACCGGTGGGAGGGGGTCGGCGTGGCTTGGTTTAATTTGCAGCCTTGGCGCACCTCTCCATTGGGAGGAGCACCGGTGCGACCTGCCCTGAGCAAGCAGCAGCTCCGCTGCGTGCAGCGTGCCGGGGGACCGGGCCAGGAGATGCCATGCTGCTTCCCCACTAGCGCGTGGGAAACGCGGCGTGATGCACTGGCCTTGCCCCAAGATGACAGCACAGTCTCGTTGGTCTGGTCCCAGAGCCACGCTCGGCGTCCCTGCGTGGGTTTCCTGTGCGCCAAAGGGCCCTTATTGAGGGTCTGCTGCGTGTTGTCGGAGAAAGGCAACGTTGCACACTTTATTCAACTAAAACAAAGCAAGAAAGTACTAGCGACCTGACCTCTGATTGACATTTCAAACGCTTTTGGCCTTATTCCATAGCAAATATGCAAAAGTTTACAAATGTGGGGTGCACTTTACATTTCATTGCTCTTGCCAAAGTTTCACTTACTGAATAGCTCACTAAATATAGTAAAATATAGAGGTTTTTCTTATTTTGCTTTGATCAGTAAAATAAACTTTTAAAGATTGTTCTGGGATGGGATCCAGCTTCTGAGGCAAAGAACGGCTGTGGCTGAGCCGTGATTTAGTAATAGGGTGTTCAGCAACATCCGTCTGACAGTTCTCAGGCCAGCCGCTCCAGAGGAAGGACTGACCCACTTGGGAAGGGTTGACAACAGCTTTTGCTTTTTAACGCTTAGGGTGTGGAGAAGGCGAGGGCAGTTTTCCATTGTGGGGGTTCCAGGGGTGCCTTGGTGCGTGCAAACCCAAACGAGGCCGTCCGCGTTCAGCTGCTGTTGTTTGCTTCTCTCCCAGCAGGCAGCCTGGCTCGTCCCGACGCCGCGCTGAAGGCCTCACTTGGCACACACGAAGAATGTTTTTGCGTCTGCCGTCTCTGATATTCCTTGTCTGTTTGGCCCCGGGGATGGTTTTGGGTTCTTCTTCTGTTTTTTTTCCTCCGTGTTGTCTTATGTTTTGGTTGGAGTTTTGCTTGACAATTTTCTGCCATGTAAAGTACCTGAAGGTAGCAGGCCCCTCCTTAGGGAA